ATAATAATCGGTGGGGGTGTTGGTAATCGATTGCCAATGAATATGGTTGGCAATCGATTTCCAACCATATCAGAAATTTGCTGATGAATATAACAGAATACAGTGATGATGAGTGATTAAGTATGAAGGAGTATGGTGGTGACAAAGTCAATAGTGGCGGATACAGCAAAATCAATAACAAAATACAGTGATAGTGATAAAATATGATGGTGGCAAAATTGATAACGGAATATGGCAGAATTGACAATGAAAATATGATGACAGCAATGAAATATGCAGGAATACGATGATGGCGAAATCAACAATAGCAGAATATAGTGATGGTGATGAAATATGGAGGTGACGAAGTCAACAGCGGAATACAGCAAAATTGATGATAAAATACGGTGATGGCAATGAAATATGAAGGAATACAGTGACAAAATTGATAGCAAAAGGCAGCAAAATACGGTGACAGCGATTAAACATGAAGAAATACGACAGGGGCAAAATTGATAGCAAAATGTGGCAAAATACGATGACGACAATGAAATATGTAGAAAAATCGACAGCAGAATATAGCAAAATACGGTGACAGTGGCAAAATCAATGACGAATTAACAAATTGATAATGAAATATGGAGGAATACAATGACAAAATCGATGACAAAATATGTAGATAGGCAGGAATATGACGATGACAAATTGATGGCAAATTACCAACGAAAATTGATGAATTGATAACCAGATGCGGAGATGGTGACAAAATATAAAGGAATACGATGGCAGCAAAATCAATGGCGAATTAACAAATCGATGACGGAATATGATGGCAAAATTGACAACAAAATACAGACAGGAATATGACAATGGCAAAATCGATGGCGAATTACCAACGATGAATTAATGACCAAATGCGGTGATGACGATGAAATATAGTGATAATCGATGGTGAATTAACAAATTAACGGAGGAATACGATGGCAAAATCGATAACAAATTAGCAACAAATCAACAACAAAATACAGATAGGAATATGACGACAGCAAAATTGATAGTGAATTAATGACCAAATATGATGACGGCGACGAAATATGAAGGAATATGGTGGTAGCAAAATCGATGGCGAATTATGACGACAAAATCGATGATGAATTACCAACGAAAATTGATAATGAATAATGACCAAATGCGGTGACGACGACGAAATACGGAGGAATACGATGGCAAAATCGATGACAAATTAACAATAAAATACAGACAGGAATATGACGACAGCAAAATCGATGACAAATTACCAACGAAAATTAATGATGAATTAATGACCAAATGCAGTGACAGTGACGAAATATGAAGGAATACGGTGACGGCAAAATCGATAGTGAATTAATAAATCAACGACAAATACGATGGCAAAATTGATGACAAATTACAGACAGGAATACGATGATGGCAAAATTACTAATGACGAATTAACAATCAGATGCAGATATGACAATAGCAAAATCAATGGCGAATTACCAATGAAAATTGATGAATTAATGACCAAATGCGGTGACGGCAGAATCGATGGCGAATTAACAAATTAACACAGACAGAATACGGTGATGGCAAATCAATGGCAAATTACCAACGATGAATTAACGACCAGATGCAGTGACAGCAACGAATTATAAAGGAATACGGTGACGAATTACCAATGAAAATTGATGATTAATTAATGACCAGATGCGGATAAATATGATGACGGCAAAATAGGAAAAATATACGTAAGATAATATTTAATAAATAAAATGAGTAATAATAAAGATATTGTATTAATTTACCTGTAATGCCTTTTGTGATCTTACCAGGCTTGAACAAACACTATAAAAACTGTTCCATCGTGTTTCTCCAGGGGCATCAATTGTGAAATATTTTCCATATTCAGTATATTGTTCATCCCTCAATTTTGCTATAAAAAACTTATGATTTGGGTTCTTAAAATATGTAGCAAGACGGATTGCCTAGTCAATGGTGTTTTTGAGATCAGTTGATTCTTTAAAGATCTCTCCAATGCACAAATTTATCTGATGTGCATAACATGGTAGAAATACAATTGACCTGTTTGTAATTCTCAAACGACGTCTATAAATACACCTAATTAATTAATTAATTAATTAATTTTAGTTATTCTAAAAATAAAAACATGTACATACCTAGCTGTTGCATATGCGCCTGCACTATCAGTTACAATGGCAATTACTTTAATTGCTTGTATATCCAACTCGGTAAGCATCATATTAATTTTTTCAATTACTTTCACATGTGTTTCACGTTCGGAACTTATATTCATTGCCTTCCAAACATATGATCTGCCTTCTGATGTAATTATTACTGTTTCTAATAATTGTTCATTCCGAATATTGATCCAGCCATCAAAGATAAGGGTAACGCCAATTTGATCTTCTTTTAGTATCGTTAACATTGCTTTTTCTGATTCATGTGTTGCTTCATTCAAAATTCAATCTCCAAGTAGACGTCGATCTGGAAGCTTGAGAAAGGGATTAAGAAATTCAAATAATTCAATTGCTTCAGGTTTATTAACCCATTGCAAAGCTCATCCACAAGAAACTGTAAGTCGTAAGAGAAGTTTGTGAAATTTTTTTATATTTTCAGATGATAAAGGTCAAACTATATAATTGTCCATTGGTCCATAAGATGAATTCCGAATTAAAATCTTTGAAGCTGAAGAGCGTGAAGTTGTAGATATAGTTTCATTGGTAGATATAGCAATTTCTATAAAATAATAATATAAAAATGTTATCAAAGAAATAAAAATAAATAATTTTCATGATATTTACCTTTTCTTTTTCCTAATTGTACTGGAGAAATATTAGTTTCAACAAGGTTATAAATTTCTTTTCTTTGTTCAGATGTCGTTTCAGTAGCAAAATGAACACATTTTTTTAAATGTGCTATTATTCGATCTTTTTTATTGGGAAAATGGTATTTGGTACCTTCTGCTTCACCCAGTACTTTTACACAGGATTTACAATATACTTTAACATTGAATTTATTTATTTTTTCATCAGTTTTGATAATATAATTATCTAAAATAAATGGTAAAAGTTTCATCGCGCTTCAAAAAAAATTTAATAATTTGAATGTTGAACATTGGACATTGGACATTGGACGTTGGACAAAATTGTCCATGTCCAACTATATTATTTGATTGGACATGTCCAGTGACAATTGTGTTACTGGACAATCATTGGACATTGGACATTTGGACATTGGACAAAATTGTCCATGTCCAATAATATTGCTTGGACATTGTCCATGTACATCACTGCCGTAGGGTATTAAAACCCAACACTGCGATATGACGTATAGCGTTCAGGTCGTGTATCCAGTAAAACTACATCATTTACAGTACGTACGTATAAATCATCGAAGATTGATACATGTATCTTTTATTCCGAGATACTGGTAAACTTAAAGATGAATTATATAATTTATAAAGTGAAATCTTTAACTCATGATTGTAGTAAATGTACCAAATGTCAAGAAAATAATGGCTACTTTAAATGTTTTCTATATTACAAACGAATTTATAAAGTTGAAATAAAGATATCGACAGTCTAATAAATTAATGCGACAGAATTGCTGATGAATCTGAAATGGTTTGAATGGATTACTTTTGAAAGATTCAACAATGTTGAATATCTTGCAAAAGGTGGTTTTGGAACCATTTATAAAGCAGACTTATGGAAAGAATCGACTACTATAGTAATGGAATCATGAAGAAAAATTTATACAAAGCAATTATGAATACAATCAATTCGTATTCAAAAAAACCAAACAAAAAGAAGTTGTGTTGAAATCATTACATGATTCAAAGCAAATTATAAATGAGGTAACAATGAACAATTTTTCCATTAAACAAGATAAAGTTTTTCAAAAATAGATTCAAACTGCTCTAAAGTGCAGTTGGGGTGACATTAAGTATTATGGAATGACTAAAAACCCAGTGACGAATGAATACTCGATAGTAATGGATTATGCATACAATGGCGATATACGTAAATATATAAATTCCAAATACGAATTAAATAAATTGGGAAGAAATATTGAGAGATTCAAAGATATTCTCTATGGATTGCGTGAAATTCACAAAGAAGGGTCGGTGCATCATGACTTTCACCCTGGAACTACATTATCCTCAAATTGCTGATTTTGGTCTTACCGGTCCAGCTAATTTAAAAAAATCTAATCAAATTTACACTAAAACATTAGATATTTATAGGTTTGGGATGATTTTGTACGAAATTGTAACAGGTGAAAGACCATTCGGTGAGCGAGGATATGATATGTATCTTGCATTTGACATCTGTGAAGGAGTACCAAATAACGTACCCGGATGGTGTAAATTGATTATTGAAAAATGGTAGAATCCTATTCCAGAAAACAGACCAACGGCTGAGGAACTTTACAACTTTTTCTACTCTATCGGCTATATCGATTATCTCGATAAGGAATGGAAACCGAATACTTTGCATCTTGAGTACTACAGCTCCAAAAAACATGCAAAGAAATTATCGAGTATTTTAAACTGGAAATGCATAAATTTAATTTAATGAAAGATCAAATAAAAATTCCTATGAATAAAAAACAACAAATCCACCCAAATACAATTTACACCAGTCGAATCTTTACTAAAAGAGAAAATTCAATTACAAATGATACAGGTATATTCTATTCTTGAAATTCCTAAATATAAATCATGTTGACATCTCATATTAATTAAAGCTATTTGTATATTTAGGTTCTAAAAATGTTAGTTTGTATGTTCCAAATGAAGGTAAAATTAATGTTTTTAAAAATTACTGTATAGATGAATCAATATGTATTAAAATACTTGTTTAATAAATTACTAGAATATGTGACTGCTGAATATGATATAGATAGCAATGACAAATCAAATGAAGGTAAATTGCTTAGCTACAGTCAATTCTCTCTATATCAGTGTTGCCAATGGACCAATGGACTGCCAATGGACTTTGGTCCATGTTCCATTGCGGCGAAGCTTGCAGATTTCAGTTATCAATGGAGCAGTATTAGGTCTCATTGTAATAATAAATCATTGATCCAGCGATTATACAGAACCAATGGAACAATTAACTATTATCAATGGGATACTGGTAGATTTTTTTAGTTATAAGGAAAAACTATAGAGCAATTTTGCTCGGAAATTTTTCAATTCTTTTAACATTATGTACATGTTAAAGTAAGAAACTCTACAAAACTCTACAACTGTAAAGTTTCCTTGCATACTGATTTACAACTACAGTGCTCGTCAGAAGTAACGTACCCTCCAGAACTTTCCGTAGATCATGTGTAATGGACCAAAATTTTCCGAGCACAAAGAACATTACGTACAAATGCTGATCGTTGATACCTTTTGTAGATTCTATATCGGGTGTTGTATTTTCACGTCCAAAATACGTACGTACATATATTTCATAACACACATCTCAATATTCAATAATCTAATTCTTGACGTTCAGTGAACAAACATACAAGGTGAATCAAATGGTAGTATTTTTATTCAAATCGATCACTGGCCATCGAAATATTACGTCTTGATTTAGCAGATTCATTTTTTTGGAGTTAACAAACATTAATCAGCCAAACAAATACCATTCGATTCGTTTGACTAGACAAATCGAATGGTATATATTATTTTTATTCAAATTGGATCACTGGAGATCGAGATACGTACGTATTTCAATTTTTTGGCGATCAACAAATATGACGTCTAGTGATCCAATTTGAGTGAAAATACTACCATCCGATTTTTCTATTCTAGGCAAATCAAATGGTGGCATTTTTGCTCAAATTGGGGGGGGGGATGGCTAAAGCCTGGTGGACATGTGATGCGTGTTTATCACAGTGTTAAAGGTTGATTTATTAGCGTCAGGGTTAGGGTTAGTGTTAGAGTGGAGGGCTAGAGTATATGTAAAATTGCCTCCCCGACGTCTTTAATTAGTGCTCCAAGATAGATTAAAGCATACTTTTCCATATTTTCATTTTTACATTCTGCTTCGAATTTGTTTTTCCAGGTTGCTCAAACATTTACGCATTCTTATTGGCTTGTTTCTCGGACAGATCACTGGATCCACCAGGCTTTAGCCAATCCCTCAATTGGGTCACTAGACGTCGAGATATTATGTCCTAAAGTGAACGATTCATTGTATTTGGGCATGAAAGTTATGGGTACGTTACTTCTGACAAGCACTGTAGTCGGTATTAAAATTCAAACTTGAGACTTAAAAAGAACACTATTGTATAAAATTAATATTTCCAATTCGTAAATCTTCCTTTGTTCTTCTACGCCCAAGTTATCTCAAGTCGCACAAGATTATCGTTATCATTTTTCGTTAGAATCGGGGACAGAGTTAGTGTTAGTATCGTTACCTTCTGATTGATGTTTGCTTTTCTTTTTTGCACAACGATAATATAAATAGACAATAAATGATAGTGCTAGTGTACCGATTACTATTGTGAAAATAGTTATCGATGAATGGAACGGTGGTGGTGGTGATGATGAATCTGTTGTTATTGGTGTTGGTGATGATGGTAATGATGGCAATAGACATGAACATGGAGGTCTAGTGAGATCAGCCATTTGAACCCATTTTAAAGTGCCATTATAAATGTCAAGGATATTAAATTCGGCACTTGGAATATCGTTCATTTCACCTTTAATTGAATAATCAATAAGTAAATTTCTTTTCAATTAAAATTAGATTTATTAGAGATAATTTTACCGAACATCATAAAAATGTAGTCATTAAAATATGTTGCTGTTGTTCGATACGGAATATAATCCGGTCCTTTTCCCTCGACCTTCGGCTGTGTCCAGTTTTTTGTTGACAGGTCAAATACCACAATACCTCCATTTGTACTAATAAGTAAAAAAAAAATCGGATAATAAAACAATAAGAATAATTCCATTTATATGATTGTTATGGCATTTATCTACTTACGAGTAATCTGTATGGTTTATTTCTCCTCCGTAAACTATTACTCGTTTTTTATCCGCAGCTTTTAATTTATTTATATAAACGAAGGTTGTGTCATTAGTTCATATAGTCTGGCTCTATAATCACGCTCTTGGGACATAAAAGTGTAATCATTTAATTAATTACCTAGTATCGCAGCATGTGCAGCTCGACCAACCGGTACGTTTATTATCGTATCCTGTTTTAGGAAATCGTTTTTAATATTTTTTCGAAGTAAAAATAATATTAATGAAACTCACAATTCTTTCCCAGTCATTGGTATTAATGTTAAAAACTGGTATCTGTAATCCAATAATAATGTTAAGTTATATCATTAAAAACAAGCATCGCTTTTATATCTAAACTCACAGAATTAAATGGCATATACGCGTATTTTTTTTCATGAAGATGATTTCCACTAATATATAAAATTCTTCCATCATCTGTCAAAATCGGAGCGTAATTCCAAATCATATCCGGTGCATTATTTGATTTCACCATTGTCCATTTAGCATTATTAGAATCAAGAATATACATTGTATTATCATTCCCTACACCATCCCATCCTCCGAAAAAATATATTTTTCCTTGCATATCGGTAACTGGAATTAATCGTTCACGTGGTGATGGTGCGGCGGTATTATCAAGCTGTTCAATGATAATTGGATTCGAGTCAATGCGGATTTTATAAACTGTGTTTTTAAAATCTCCTTTAGTTCCTTGCTAGAAAAAAATTAGTTAGCATAATTAAAAAATTAATAGAAAAATTTATTAATTATTACCCCTCCGAATGCATAAATATCATTTTTCCAAGCAGCTGAACCCGAAAGATAAACTCCCTCAAAATCTCCTGTGTAGTTTAGCAAAGAAAACTCTGGTAATTTACTCGAATTCGAGGCATAAAGATATTGCGGAGTAGGCGTAAGAGGTAAATTCAAATAAAAAAAGTCACGAGAAAAATTTCCATTCAAATCTTTTCCGCCGAAATAGTATATTTTGTTATTTATTAAGTGAGTATTATGACCAAAACGAGGCAATGGGGTAAAAGCTTGGGATATATTCACTGCCTTAAATACCAACAAAAAGAATACAAAACGAATTGACGAATCCATTTCCAACAAACAAAATAATGAGAATAAACTTATTTATCTACTCTAATACGACAACCTAATAATAACGATAATATGCTACGAAAAATTAAATAGAATACTGTATCAAACAGTTTGTCCAAAATGTTCCTTTCCGACTTTTATAAACTTAATTATATCTAGCACTATCCGTGGGTGTTCAAATTGTTTATTTATAACACTAGTGAGACAACACACATTACAATCTGAAAAAATAAATACATGTAACCAACTCTTAATTCCATTAAATATAATTCTTGGTACATGCACCCCTTTAATAAATTTCTTTTTAGAAGTGTTCTTAAAAAATAGAAGTGTAGTACCATCTACAATGGCGCCTACAAGAAATGATTAATCCAAACAAAATAAATAAGTACAGTATCGAAACCTCTAGTATTTTTTTAAAATAATTTGACAATAAATTACTTTAACTATTGTTGTGAAATTGAGTGATTTAAGTCAAATTTTTCAATTTAAATTTCGATCTACAGAGCTTTTTTTCTAATTAAATCCCCAAGGTCCCAAATTTTTATTACATGTAGTAAAGAAAATTGACGCTACTTGGATTTCGTGATCTAATGTCTCGATAAATTTTAAGCCAATTTTTATGAAATTGGTATGTAAGTAGATTTCGTAGAGCAGAACATTTTTATTTAGTGGTCCAAATTAGGATTTTGTCTTAGAAAAAAAGTTTCTGTAGATTGAAATTTACTATTTGAAAAATTTGACCTGAATTACTCAATTTCACAGAAATGGTTAAAATAATCTGTTGTCAATTATTTGCAAAAAATATTTTAACATAGTATCTGTTTATCTTGTTAGGATTGATATTGACGGAGATAATAATTCTAGAAAATTTTATCGAATGTTCCATTTCTTGTGGAAGCCATTGTAGATGGTTTGCACTGTTAGTAAACTTCTATTTACGATTCTAAGTTAAGAACACTTCTGAAAAAAAATTTATCAAAGGATACCAAAAATTACCTTTAATGATATTAAGATTTGGTTGAAAGCATTGATCGGTGCCACAATTCGAACACCCACGGATAGATACATATAATTAAATTTACAAAAATTTTTATAAAAGAAGCTATTAAAATTGTTTACGAATTTAAATGTATTTCTCTTGTTATTATTTAATTTCCGAAGCTTTTACCCCATTGCCTCGTTTTGGCCACAATGCTATAACAAATAACAAATTACTAGTTCGGCGAAAAGATTTGAATAGAAATGTTTCTCGTGACCCCCGTTTTTATTAGGATTTGCCTCTTACGCCTCGAATTCAAGTAAATCACCAGCGTTTTCTTTGCTAAACTACACATGAAATTTTGAAGGACTTTGTCTTTCAGATGCAGCTGCTTGGAAAAACGATATTTATGTATTCGGAGAGGTAATGATTAATAAATGAAATGAATATTTTCTATTGATTTTGTAATTATACTACAAATTTGTTTTTTTTAGAAAGGAAACTTCTCATTTTTCGCCATCGCTAACCACGTCATTGTTATCAAAAATTATTTTTACACTAGTAGTCAGTGTAGTAGCGCTAGCATTAATTTCACTTTATATTATCGTCGTGCAAAAAAATTTTATTTTTTGAGAGCAGTGACAGATTTCGGTTTAAAGTGTGCATTAGATTTTTTTATCTTTTAAGAAAACTTTATTACATCATGTAATTCTTATTTTGACATGTACACAACGTTAAAAGAATTAAAAAAAATTGTGGACGTAATTGCTCTCTATACTTTAAGAAATAATCCGTGGATTAGCAAACGGACAAGAATTTCGAATACTGTAACGGTAAATAAGCTCGATAAACAAATCAATCTATAACAATAAGCAACTCCTCTAGAAAATTTCGGCTTTCTATTTGTTCACTTGATCCTGGAAAAAAGCTAAAGCTATTTCACAGAATCGTTCTAATGTTTTTTTGATGTCCCCATATTCGCATTGAGACGACGACATGCTGTTCCTTGGATTTTCTTCAGATAAAAAATATATTCGTCTTCAAAAACCCTTAGTCTATGCTCATTTATATTCGGGATTAACTTTATCACATAATAGAAAAAACCAAGACTTGCGTATTATAGTTTTTAAAAGCAACTTGAAAATTTATTTTGATCGATACTTTTTCAAATCTTAGCTAATAATGAATTTACACTAAGAGTCGGAAGTAAGGACACTACTGATTATCTACAATAAATGCCTGCCAACTAATTTATTAGAAACGATGATAGTTGGATCACTACTGTATAGTATACACACGCTATAATTGTCAGTAATTAGAAATCCATCACATCCATGTCCGTATGGTTTTGGTTCAAGAACTTCAATGAGTTCATCAGGATGATCGGGAATATTCCAACTTTAATGAATTTTCCGACAGCTTCTTGGTACGATCCTACTTCCATGGGCCCTCGGTAGGTGCTATTGCTTGATTGTACCGTCGTGCGATGTATATAAGTCGGAGGATCTGCGGCCACAACAATGGTCACGCGTAAAGATTATTGCGAGACAGTAGACGAATCTTATTGAGTTTCTGTTTGTTTGTATATGTGTGAACTTTTTTTTGGTTTAAAAGTAACTATTAGCCTTTTATAAAGTAAAGAAATAAAATTGTGCGTAGTATGGTGCTTTTTTATAGTTTTTTTTGTCACTGATTTCATGTAAGTATTCGAAAGCGTCATTGGGTTACTGTATTGTCTATTGAGAAGTTTAAACAGAAAAATGAGTACATCATATTAGCCCTGTAAAAAATACGGAAATCAATGAAAACCACTTAATTGATGCACTTCCAGAAATTTTTCAGATTAATAGTTAGTATTTGATGTAAATTATCATTATGTATGGTTAGAATATACGTATAACTAGTACGTATTTTTTTATATATATTTTGAAAATTATTTATTACGTAGTACCATGTTAGGAAAAGCAGACTAATGTATAGTATTTTTAAAATAATACAAATTGTGTTATAATTAGCTACTGTTCTAAAAATATCATTGAGGATGATGGATCGAGTGATTTCAAAGAAAATTCTATGTCGAGCTTAAAAACCAGTTATTTCACATTTAAGATACATGTATTTTGATTTGTGTTTTTATTTTTTAAATGCATAAATTTAAAACATTTATTATTAAAAAATGTTACTCTCTTATTATTTCCAAAGTAATTTGATTGTCTTATTTCTTAAGAAGTTGTAAAACTATATTTATAAAATAATATAATATTGTATTGCAATTGTTTTTATAAATAAAACACTATCGTTATTGTGAACTATCATTTAAACCAATGTTTATGTTTGCTGAATATCTAATTATATTTTTACAGCCAGTAAATATTATAATTAAAGTAACTTTTAAGTATTTAAATTTTATTTTGCGTGTATCTAGCACCAAGATAAACTTTGCATGGTAGTTAGAAAATAGAATTTGGTTGTTTAAATTATACAGAATAGAAACTATCAATAAATTTGTATAACCAATATTTTACCTAAAATATTTATAATTTATTGTTTGCAAGTATTTAATTTACAACTATTTTCTTTGTTTATATTTAACTATTCTATATATTTTTTATTTTGATCATTTTTTGCATTTTATAAAATAAATTACTTTTATAAAGTAAATATACAATATAATAATAAGAGTATATTGATTATATCGACTGTAAGTATAATTAAACTATCTTGATTTTCTCTTTTTTCGGTCTTTAAATAACAAATTTTATATTATGCTCTTTAATAAGTGTGAATATATGTATGAACTTTGATATATTTCAAAAATTTGATAATTATTAATTGTGCATTTGTCAGATTCATTAAGTTTTTGTAAATTATCTTTCTGTATTACTCTTATAAAATTTATTAATTGTATAAGTTATAAAAAATTATATTTAATAACTATTTAAAGCTTTATAAAAAGTAAAAATTTTTTATTCAAAATTGAAATGCTCTTATAATAAATTATAAATATATTTGTAACTTAACATAAAATTATCTATAAAGTATGGTATTTATTTTTTTATTTTCAAACGCTGTTTCTTTAAGCTCTTTCTATAAAATTATGAATAATGATTAATAAAATAAAAACAAAATTTATTAGCCTTTTTATATTACTGAAAATATAAATTTATATTTAATAAATTGAAATAATAACAATATATGTTAAATTTGAAAAAAGATATAATAATCAGATAATTCAAATCAATAAATTTTTAATTTGCATGCTTAAAAATAATTAATTTTTATAAGCTAATACATAAAAAACTGTTAAATAAAATAAATTTATTTTGAATGAAAACTATAAAAAGATATAGAATTAGATTATTCATTTATTAAAATTTAAAAAATATTGTATTTTTAAAATCAATTGATAAACCTTGAGTTATTCTTGAATTTGATATATATATATACATACTTTGGTGTATAACATTTAAGTCATCAAATATTTGTATTTTATAAAATGCTCAACTATGAAGTAAATTCAAAATTTAATTTGTAAATATAATAGAATATATCTATTTAATTATGTTTATGGATTAAATTTTATATTTACTTTTAGTTAAGAAGTTTATATATTTTATAAAATATAAATTTAGACGTTATGCACCATATATACTTAAAATTTTTTGTTCTAAATATATATATTTAAAGTAATTATATAAAAATATAAACAAAAATAAGCTATTTAAAATATAAATTAGAAAATTTTCAATTCTTTAAAAATTTATATCAATAAACTTAAGTATTTATAATATATTAAAAGCAAATGATAATGATATCATTAGATTTCGGATTTCCAAAAATTTTTAATTTTTGTAAATATAGAAGAGCATCAAAATCATGCTTAAATTAAATAATATTAGAGGAATTTTCTATATATCACTGCTTCTTTTAAATTTGTTAATATGTAATTTATAAGAATGTTTTGGTTATAGAATAATTTCGATCAAAAACTTTTATTATGTATCTTTATTACATTTTGCAAAATTTTATCAGTTTAATTTTCTAATTAAGGTATATTTATATCAGTATTTTCGATGATATATGTCTTAAAAATATGTATATATTTCTATATGTAAATTAAAAATGATTTAATTGTAAAACTAAGAGTTAGTAAAATTGGTTTTTGTCTAAAAATTTTTCAATTCGATGATTTGAAATTTTAAATTTAGAAAAAATTTGATATTTATTTTATTAAATTTTTCAAGTTGCATTTAAAAGCTGCTGTGTTGCTGATTGTCATTTAATGCTTGTTTATTTTATTTAAGATGCTTATTATAATATGTCACTGTCAAATTCTCTTGTTTAAAATAAAATTTTAATGATTTTGAAAATAATTTATTTCTACATAAAGTACCCCATTCTCGTTATTATAATTTAATTTTTTGAATAGATATGGTTGGTATTTAAAATAATAAAATTTATTTATAAATTTATTGTTTATTAACAGCGTTTTACTGAATTTTATAAAAAAATTATTTCGGACTAGAAATGCTATAAGTATAATTAGTTATATGTATGTATCTTTTTTGGATTTGGTCAAACTAAAATTTTAATTATTAATAGATTTTGATGCTACTGTTATTCATTTATGAAATTGATAAAAATATTTTTAAATTAAAAAAGATCTTTTTATATGCATTCAATTAACCTAAACGAAGAGTCTTTATAAGAACTAATACTAAGTAGATATCACTATATTGATAGATTTATAGGAAATCCATATTAATAATCTTTTTATTTATTTCAAAATTTATAAGGAAACTAATATTTTTATGTTTGGTTATTTTGTAATTTTTGAATTATTACTTTCATCATATTTAATCTTTAGTTTTCAAGTAATTAATTTCAGCGCTCTTTTGTCTTTAGTAATCTATCTAGAATTATGAACTCGTTCGTGAGGCCCCACGACCGTCATACGAATTCAAATATTTTTTTAAATATTCAAATTCAGTTCACCAATTTATCGAGAAAATATCAATATAAGTGTAAAGAAATAATAATTTTTGTTATTAAATTGAGAATAAATACAATTTCTTAGTTATATGGATGAGTTCTCAAGTAAAATTGTTTATAAATTGTTTTAATTACGTAATTTTTTATAATTACATGTATATAAGAAAACTGACAATAAAAATGTCAGCTAATTTTTATGTTCGTTACATATTTATTATAAATGCGACAAGGTTAAAATAAAAAATTTTAGAGCGATAGGTTTTGAGAAATGACTTAGTCATACTCCATATAGTCACCCACTTTTAAACATTTTTATAGTGCCAGTTCCAGGAATATACATTAAGTTGTATATAGCGATAGAATAACTATTGATACGATACTTTTCTTAATACATACTCTTGAAACTGGCACTATAAAATTCATTAAAATAATGACTGTATGTTGCATAAAATCTAAAGTCATCAAACGTTTGTATTTTATAAAATGAATAAATTACTTTACTAAGAAGTAAATACAAAATTTAATCCATGAATATGATAGAATAGACCTTTTATGAGCACATTCACGGATTAAATTTTGACTTTAGATTTTATGTACCATACGTATTACATGTATATTTATAATTATATGGTGCAGGAACTCTTAAATCGACAATATGTTTCATGTTGAAAATTCTTTCGACTTCTTAACTAAGAAGGAAATACAAAATTTAACTGGTACATGTACACGAAAAAAAATTCTTGATAATACATGCATCACCGATTAAATTTGGCTTTACTTCTCAGCGTTAGCGTTAGTTAAGAAGTTTAGCATGAAACATACCGATACGTAACCAGTCAAATCTCCGTACTGATATAATCAATGATAGTGACTACATGCATGTACATGTATATGGAGGTTTTACTAACGCTAACGCTAAGACGTAACTACATGTACAGTACTCCCCCAAAAAGTAACACCCGCCCGATTTAAAATTATATATGTACATATAAATAATTTTTGATTTTAAAATTAAAACAGTTCTTACTTATATAAGCTACTACATGTCCGGTATTATTTTTTCAAAATACAATTAATTAGCTTTAAAATTTAGAAAATGATTATTATAAAAATTTCCATTGTATAATTTGGAACCGGGCGTTACTTTTTGGACATGTATATAGGAAGTGACTATATAGAGGATAGAAAATTTATTGATTAAATTTTATTATAATAAAACAAAAATTAAAAATTCAACTAAATAAAACAAGCTAATAATTAAATTATTCTATTGTTAAGTTCTATTAAAATAGATATTAATTACAAATCAAGAAATTATCTTTTCAAATTTAAAAAAGAGTTCACCATTTGATTTCAACAATCGATATCGTTCTAAAGCATAAGTATCGTACATTTTAGATGCTAAACTCATTGCTGCAATATGATGTGGTTTACCGTTTGCGGCGCGAGCGTAATCTCGATTTAACCATACACACATTGCGAGACATTCACGCCGTTCATTTAGTCCACTGTAACAATACTGTTAATTTAGCAAACTATCAGTATATAATTGATTGGAAAAAATATTTCATCAATTTAATATAATGCTGAGATCACCTTTAACAATCCACCGTTTAGCTTCGCTTCTTCATGAGCTCTAGAGTCAGCTTCGTACAATGCAATATCATCTGCATCGGCTCGACGAATAGACCTAAACGCCACGACATACCATTCTCCTTTCACGTCTGGAATCGACATTGCCAGCTCATTCCAATTGAACGCTTCTTCTATCGGCACTCTTAAATAATCTGTTGTTATTATATGTAAGTTTTTCAATGAATTTGTAAATTCACCATCATTATGATCGAGATTATTAGCATCGCCATCAAAAGAAGAAAATTTCAAGTGCGAATCTTTATTATAGCTATAGATAGCTGTATATGGTGAAGTTTTTTCTATCATGTTATATAATAGATCATGAGGGAATAACGCGGTTTTTAATCTTTCTAGATGTTCAAATAATGAATTCATTTGGAAAACAATTTATTTTAACAATCACTTCAAATTAGTTTACGTTTTATACTTTTCGATTTGTTAATTCGTTATTTTCTTAATAAATTCCGTCATTATTCGCCATCGTGCATTTTTCATGAAGTATATATAACGATAATATTAATGCATATTAGCGTTAGCGTTAGCACGCAACCAATGTCGATCATTACGCAATTATCGTTATCGTTATTGATTCGTCTTGATTGCGGAATCAATTAATGTGATGATGCTATACGGGCAGTAGATAACGATAGATCTTGATTGGGTTTTATATTTAGACATGTTATTTTAACGAATTACAAATTTATTTCAAATTACTTAAATCGAAATCAATCGTTTAAAACACCAGGTGGAAGAAAGTCATTTAAGCCTTCATTTATAATATTACGTAAATTTATTAATCATGACCTGACAGTTCTAAAGAAATGAATAAGCAAATAAGAGCGAAATCGCGCCATAAATATGTATTCGAATTTCATGCAATATTATGATTTCAGACCAAAAATGTACTTTGAATTAATAAACTTACGATTTAATAGATACTTATTAATATATCATAACTGTAGGCTAAATGTAAAACAGATAAAATGAGCAAAATTAGATCATATCCATAATATAAATTACTATGTGCCAATTTATTTCCTATGCATTGTTTGAAAATTTTATACCACGTAGGAAATTTATTTTGTTCTTAAATTGCAAAAAAAAACAGTGTAAACAATACTGCACTTCTTATACTACATTTTTGGCAATATTTTGTAAACTACGTAGTAGACTTTCAAAATCCACATAATTATTGTACCACACAATAAATCATCAAATTTTATGGGTTTCAGAACTCTGAAATTACGATTAAGGGGATCAAAGATTTCTATCGGTGTCATCTTTGACTTTTGAAGTATCGTTATAGAAAAGCAGATCATTTTCTTCTTTAGGAATTGAAAGATTGCGCCAGAATTCTTGAGATTGTACAACCGCAGAATTTTCGAAAACTATACGTACATAGTCGATTGTCTCAGACAAACTTCAATTGCCAAACTATTCCTTTTGAAACATTTAATATGAACCAGAGCTGTTTGCCGTAATTCATTTTTGATATAGCATTATCTTTATGAAAAATGTCGTACGTTTTACATTCCAAATTTGATGCTCTCATCACCTCTTCTGTTCTCACGAACGCTAATATACAATTTGCAACATTTGTGTTCTCAATAAGGAACACATTTGTTTTCGAGTGTTCTCGCTGGAGAATTTGTGTTCTCAAGAGAACGCCGAGAACACAGATTTCCAATACTGTTCGTAATTGTGCAAAACAATTATGACCAGCAGCTTCATGTTTGGCTTTTCTTGCACAATACGACGAGTGAATATTTAATATGATTATTTAGATTTTAATATTTCTGCAAAATGGATAATAAAGATTCGCAAATTAATGCTTTGGGTAGGTTCGAGTTAGTTGAAATCTGTTAAAATGTGCAAGTTTTAGCACCGGAACTAAAGAGACTTCTTATAAATTTTCAATTGATTAAGTATTTTTTTATTCATCTTAGTTTATTCCCTGCAAAAATGATATATATAATGAATTTGATAGCAGAAACAAAAAGCCAACATCGAGTCTTATTGTTTCAATATTTCTCATAAACAGTTTCGAAAAATATGATCACTGCACCACCAGGATATTGTCAGTGGTTGAAATAGAAATTGGACCGGGATTATTCGCAAGTGAGTTGGATATCCGGTTTGTAATTGCAACTGCCCGTGTGAATGTGGGTGAGTCAACCCGTCGATTAGTTCCTATACTTGCTACCCAAATCCCAAATTATCATAAACCCAAATACCACACACACCAAATCTCAAAGTTATCACAAATTTATATTATTAATACTCTGATTTTATATACAATATATACAGAAAAACCTCTCTAAGTGCATCCCACGTGGGATCATATTAAAAAAAGACAGAGGGTGTGCATTTATAGAGAATAAATAATTAGAGGTCTTATAAGTTTGGGACTGAGCTATAACATGCATTAGGGGGTGTATATGATGTGTGTAGTTATAGAGGGTGCATTTAGGAAGGTCTCTGTATTTATAAAATTTTAATAAAATTTTATTTATTAGCTTTCAAAAGATTCAAATATGAATTTTATTATAAAACAGAAATTTTATGAGAAACAAAGAAATGATCAAAGACAAATATAATATAATATAATACAATGTTCTGAAATTTTCCGAGCACAAAGAACATTACAAATACTGATCATGATACCTTTTATAGATTGGTAGAACTTCTATATCGGGTATTATATGTACATAAACTTTCACGTTCCAAATATAATCAGTTATTACATAACACCCATCTCAATATTAACTAATCTAACTCTTGACATCCAGTGATCCGATTTGAACAAAAATATACCATTCAATTCGCCTAGTCGAGGTGAATCGAATGGTAATATTTTTTTTCAAATCGGATTACTGGACGTCGAAATATTGCGTCCTAAAGTAGCAGATTTGTTTTTTAACATTAACAAAAATTAATCTGCCAATTTAGAATGTGATATCTCGTTCTTCAGTGATCCGATTCAAACAAAATATATAACCATTCGATTCGTCTTGACTAGACAAATCGAATGATATTATTTTTTTT